GGTGACCATTTAATGATAGTTCAAATTTATGTTGATGATATTATTTTTGGATCCACAAATCCCAACTTAACTGCTAAATTCCGAAAATTGACGGAGACAAAATTTGAAATGAGTTCTATGGGACCAATTAATTTTTTCCTTGGTTTAGAAATAAGACAAAGTTCGGATAAAATATTCACCAATCAAGAAGCTTTAACAAAGACATTATTGGCCAAATTCACAATGGTTGGTGATTCCAAAGTCAAAGTCCCTATGGCGTTCAGAATAAAACTCACTCCTTCACTTCGCAAACCAACAGCGGATATTACATTGTTTCATTTGACGATCAGGTCTTTGTTGTATCTAACATCTAGTCGTCCAGGCATAATCTTTGTTGTTTGTTACTGTGCAAGGTCCCAAGCAAATCCTCAAGAAACACACATGATGGCAGTTAAGAACATATTACGATATCTAAAACAAACATCTTCACTAGGTTTATGGTATCCATCCAATTTAGGATTCTTTGTGAAAGCCTATTCTGATGCTGACTTTGCTGGTTGTGGTCTTGATCGGAAAAGTACATCAGGATGATGTCAATTTCAGGATGGAAAGCTTGTCAGCTGGTAGTCCAAAAAGGAAACATGTGTGTCCTTATCCACAGCTGAAGTAGAATATATTGCAACGACATTATGCACATCTCAAGTGGTATGGATTTAGAATCAACTAAGAGACCACATAATTAATATGAAACAAATTTATTTGTATTTTGATTCCGAAAGTGCCATTCAAATCTATCACAATCCAGTGCAACATTTCAAGACGAAACACATTGCGCTTTGGTAACACTTTATCAAGGACCATGTTGAAGATGGGAATGTGGAAGTTAACTTTATTCGATCCTTAGATCAACTAGTCGATATCTTCATAAAAGCTTTAGCATAAGTATCATTCAATCGGATTCTACAAGGTTTGGGAATGATCTAAGCTGAATCTGTTCCGAAATCAACACGGTAATCGTTCATGTTACTATACACTTCCGAATGGTTCCGATCTTCGGAAGTTGTCGGAATCAACTGTTCACTTCCGATTTGTTCCGATCTTCGGAATAGTTATAGTAACTGCTCACTCAGAAATTTAAATCAAAATCAATTGTTCACTTCCGACTTGTTCCAATTTGTTCCGATCTTCCGATTTTTCTTCTCAAAAATATTATCCTTATAAGTCTATTGCCATTTTCTTTTCAAAAATTTAAAAATCTCAAAAATATTTTTCTTTCTTTTTGTCTATTTTTCCAGAAAATCAAAATTTCAAAAATATTTTATTCGTTTCCTAAGTTTCTTTTCTAAAATTCAAAAATCTCAAAAATATTTTTCTTTATTTATGTATTCTGAAAAATCAAAAACCTCAAAAATATTTTATTTTCATGGAATTGATCGTAAATTCATTCGTGAATTTTAGTCTGCAACAAGGAATTGATGGCTGACATCATAACTTCTTTCTACCATACCTTATCACGACATCCATGTAGTTCCCTTGACTGTTGGAACAAAAACCGTTTCGGTATAGGGCTACAAACATTCTTTTTAATGATCGCAAAATCATTGCTAACATGATTTTCGTGAAATTCCCAACCATTTGACTCCTAATCTAGTGTTCTCCATCTATTTCATGTTCACAAACGTAACACTTTAGACTCTTAGGTTTAACCACTGAAGTTTAGGTTACACAACAACTATGTTTATGATCTTGAAATCGTTATTACCATGATTTCGAGTGAAACCCAAAATCCGATTACCTTTTCTCAATTGACGGTGAACAAATTTTTGTTCTAGATATTTTACCCACTGAATTGACGGATAAAACCTTTTTTGGTTTGTAACTTTGAATGTTCAAAATCTCAATTTTTCGTTTGAGTGGTCTTAATGAAAAGTTCTGCTCCCAAGTCATTTCTTCCCATTCGATCCAGGTTTTTTGAATATTTTTTTAATTGAGATTTCTGAATGAACATTTCTCCAATGATTACTTGTTTTTATGGCTACACTGGTCAAAAAAGTACTTCTTTCATATCTTCATACTTATGTTGAGTTTTGAAATTTGTTTAAAGATGAAACCACCCATTAAGCATTATAAAAGTATACATTCATAGTTTCTCAATAAACTTATGATCGTAATTCAGCAGGAAACCACAAAAGCACTTCAGACTCTATCTTGACTCGGAAGGAAGTGATCGCTGCCCGGGATCAAACTACTTTCATATCAAATATGTTTGATATCACAAATCCCACACTTTAAATTTGATTAATTGTTTTTCTTTGGCACACTATTGCACTAAAATCCTAGTGATTTTACAAAGTATGGTTTCAGTTCTGATTGGTTACTTTATTTCTAATGAAGAATCTTGGTCGTAATTCTAGTGGATACTGTTCTAGCTTATGCAAAGCTGGAGGGTAGATCAATGATTCTGAAAGTGGTGAAGCCGAAAAGACCTTATCTTGGTAATGGAAAATTCAAATCACGTCGCTTCTTTTGAATTTCTCTGACATAAGCATGGTTGTTATAGCGGCCACTAACAGGGGAATTATGAGCTGGCAAAATCTCATTGGTTGATTTTTCGGAGTTATTGGAACATGAAATGGTGGTTTCTCTCTCTAATCATCATCTTTGCTGTAAATCATCTCAACCGGTTCATTCTCACTTATAGCAAATATATTTCAAATATCTTCGCACAAAACGTTCTTCACTATTCATCTTCTTCTTCGTAGTTTCAATGGCTTCCTCTGAAAATGTTTCTTTTGCGGATCAATCATCATGAGTGATCATGTTAAACATCAAAGCCAACCAAAATCTCATTGTCGACCTTGACGCATCTCGCCATAACGTTCTTATTAAGCCTTTAATCGAGTGTCTAATATTTTCGCCATTAATGAAGACGATGACAATGTATGAAGATGTTCCTATTGTTCATTTGTCAAAAGCCTATTCAACGGCCATATACAACAAGTCTGCTGAGATCATTAACTTTGAATTTTCAAGCCACAAAACTTCAATCTCGAAAGCCAATTTTTGCAAACTTCTAGGGCTTGGTTCGTTTAAAGTAGGTTTTGATCCAGAATCTATTCCGCAAGCAAGCATGATAGAGATATTCTATCAGATGGGTTATATAGATGACATTTCATTATTGTCAAAGTTCATGAAATCCTACATACCTCTAATTTGGAATGGATTATTTACCCTTTTCTTAAATAGTGTATCAGACAGAGTTTTTGGATCTGATAGTGCGAGCAATATTTTTTACACAATCATCTACGGCTTAAACATTGGTGTAAACTTGGATTTTGGGTTCGTGATTTGGGCTCAATTTCTTCAAAGTACAAGCTCCACCTCTCGTCATACAGAAATATCTTGTGCTCAATTTTGGTTGAGTTTTTTCAACAGATCTCTTCCTCATCTGGTGTTCGTCCGATCCCTGACGTGTTGAAAAGGATTATTGATGCAATTGATTTACCAAAACATGGTGGGAAAAGGAAACCAAAGGCTTCTCATTTTGTAGGAGAAAATGTTTCTAAGAACGTCAAGAAACAAGTTTAGAAGCCAAGATCTCCATCTCCTGTACCAGACGATGACTCTGAAGAAAGAACAGAAACAGAAATTCAGGGGGATGATGTTTTCCAAAATGATGATGAAGAGACAGCACATACTTCTGAAGCACCTACTTTTGAAACATATGTCAAGGTATCTTCCCGTCCATCATCTTTCGTTCCAAAATCTGACATTTTTTAAAACATAATGAAGGAACCTTTACTGAATCTTACCACTCCTCCTCCTCCACCTCCACTCAATCCACCAACTTTACACATGTCAACTTACCTATAATCACATCAATTCCGATCTCATCTATTCCTCCAATACCAACAACGAGTTCTGCTAAAACATCACAACCACATATTTCAATCCCTCTTTCAACTCCGATTTTCACAAACTCGACCATTCCCACTACCTCAACTGTCACAACTCCACCAGAAGTACCTATTATCAATCCGCTTCGAAGGAGATAAGGACTTCAGGCAACCCTGGTAACACATTTGATATGGGGCCATATGCCAATATTGGTGTGTCAATTGACCCAACCCCTTCTTTTGTTCCACCTCTGCCTGAGGATACTGATATTCTGTTTGCGGGTAATCAAGAACCCATTGATGATTTTGGTTTTGAACCTTTACTGTCAACATTGATAGTGAAGATAATGAAGCCTTAGTGACTAAAGGACAATTCAAGTTGTTGAACAAGAAGCTTGACTCGATTCTTGAAAATTCAAATGCTTTCTCTTCCACCAAATAGGAGAATTTGTTGACGACTCACAAGGTAACAGTGGAAATGATAACGTCACAAAATGCTAAAATTCTTGAGGAAACATCAACGACTGCTCAAGCTTCAGAAAAGAAAATTGTAGAAGCCACCAAAAAGGTCAATACCTTGATAATGGAAGTCCAAAAGTTCATGACTGACTTCCGAACATCTTCTAATAAAAATGTTGCTGATGTAAACAAAGTCATTGAGGTATTTCATATTTCTCTACAAGCAGAAAGAGAAGCTCTCTTTAACCTCAGATCCGGAATTGAACGTGACAATGTTGATCTTCATACTTCCTTTTCCAAATGAATTATTCGGTTACAAAATGACTTCGATGCAGAGAACAAGATCTGGGATGCATTGGCTGAGCAAACTCAAGAAACAAAAGTGCTTCAAGAAAAATTGAAAAACACATCGATTGATATTGTAAAGCTTGAGGAAGAAAAGATTTTGGTTTAAGGGCACAACTTTGAAATCAATCAACGATTGATGCGTATTGTCGAGTCCAGAGATGCTCCATTCATTGAATATGTCAGTCAGATTCTAAGTGGGAAGCTATAGCCTGTGTTTGAAAATCTCAATGAAATTCAAAATGTTACGAAGAGAAAGGCTTCTACGAAACAAGGGGAGAAAAGGAGGTAAACATTAACAATATGTATCAGACGGGCCCCATGGAAACTAAAGAAACTGATATAATCAGGTTGGAAAAGAAAACTTTGGCTGAAAAATACAAGAATATCAAAGAAGTCAAGACTGGTCAGAGGGACCATGTCTCTTTGGGATCAGGAAAGGGAAAACTCAACATCATTTCTGAAAAAGGTACTGAAGATGATCCAGTGTTAACTGAAACAGAAAGAATGGCAAGAGAGAAAAGAGATAAAGAACTTGATGAGCTTAATGCATTAAGGGAAAAGTTGGATGCAGAAGAGGCAGAAGCCAAGAATTCCGAAATGATTATTGAAAGTAACAAAGCTTTATTTACGGCATGGAATCTTGAGTGTAAGCAAAAGGAATCTATCAATGAGTTGAATACATTTTGGTTCGAACTAAAAACATCGTTTGATATAAACAATGATGTGGGGTGTCAGTTAGACTTCCCTATCACTCCAAGATCTTTTCTCTTCTGATGCTTTGAGAAGATAGAGAAACCTTTGATATCCAACAATGTCGTAAACCAAAAGCTCTTATCATTTTATCTAAAATATGCGACCTCAGTACGATTTGTGGAGTTTAAAAAGAATCGTAGGGCTGAAGGTTGGGCTACCTATTCAAATAGAAGACTTTCTGAACATCCAATATAAAGGAGTTCGGGGTCACAATCATATTCTTCATGAGTTCACATTGGCTGATCTACCTTTTATGAACCCATATGATTGGATTTCGTTATTCAACATTGTTGCTAAGGATATGAAGAAATATGAACCAATTAATGAGCATTTGAAGAGGATGATTAAATGTTATATCCTGGAGCTTGCCATGATGGATATAGAACATGCATTAGTTCTGAAAAGAAAACCCATATTGAAGCCTTTCGATCAACCCCAAAACATTGAACATATAAGGGGAAAATTGTTTGATAAAGAATATTGGATAATTATCTACAAGAAAAAGGAAGGTGGAGTGCTTAAGAAATGCATGTTCTTTCCGAGGAATAAGCACTTATACCCTACAAGTGATTTAAACTTAATCCTGTCTAGGGCCAAAGCAAAAAAGACCAATTCTACAGCCAATCTGAAGTGTGTTTCCGATATGATACGTTGGTATCTTTCTGTAAGGGCGTCCTTTCTAAAGATTATGCCAAAGATTTTTGGAGATCAGAAACAATAAAGACTACTTAATTTCGATTTGACACAAATGAGGAGATTGTTAAATCATTATTTGTGTGGTGGTAAAGTTGCAGTTTAAGGCATTTAGCTTAGTTCCCATCCTGAAATGGGCATGTCTTTTTTCAGAATCGTTAGTCTTTTTGCGTCTATAAATAGTTTGTTGTATTTGTCTTTCTCTAGTGACGATGTCCTAGAATTGATAGAATAGTTCTGAACTTTTAAAAGAATTGTTCTAATGCTTAGTGAATGAAGCTCAATCTCTCTTCAATCATTATCGTTCCAAATCATTAAATCATCTTACAATATAGAATCTATCGATCTGATCTTATTTTTATTAACAACAAAAGTGAGCAGATTTCGTCGTCGATCCACTATGACCCAGATCGAATCTTGACCTTTAGAAGTTCTAGGGAGTTGGGTGACAAAATCCATGGATATTTGCTCCCATTTTGATTATGGAATTTCGAGCTGATGCAATAAGCCAGATGGTTTCTAGTGTTCTGCTTTGACTATTAATCATGTCATACACTTCCCAACATACACAAGAATATCCTTTTTCATTCCAGGACACCAATAGTACTCTTTAAGATCTTTGTACATCTTATCCGCTCCAGTGTGGATTGAGTATTCAGATCGATGAGACTCCTCTAGTACTATGTCTCTCAGATTCTTAACCCTTGGAATCTAAACTTTGTTCATAAAATAACGTACTCCGTCAGGTTTGGTTTTGGATCTCACATCGAAACCATGCAAAGTTTCACCTTGAAGATTTTCCTTGATCAAGGCTTTCTCTTGGGCATCAATGCTTTGAGATTTCAAGCTTGTATGTATTACCATTCCCAAAGCTCTCATACGAGAAGGTTTCACTCTTTCTTTTCTGTTAAGCGTGTCAGCTACTATGTTAGCCTTGTCTGGGTGGTATCATATCTCACAGTCATAATCACTAACAACTCTACCCATCTCCTATGTCGCATGTTTAACATTTTCTAATCTAGAATATGTTGAAGGCTTTTATGGTCGGTATAAATGATGCACTTGGTTCCGTACAAGTAGTGCCTCCATATCTTAAGAGTGAAAACTATCACTCCTAGTTCTAGATCGTGGGTTGTATAATTTTTCTCAAGTAGTATGAGTTGTTTGGAAGCATAGGCAATAACCTTATCTTCTTGCATTAACACACATCCTAAACCCTGATGAGACGAATCACAAAACACTACAAAATTCTCTAATCCCTCTGGTAAGGCTAGAACTGATGCATTGCACAGTTTGTTTTTTAGGATTGGAAAGCTTCTTCGTGTTTCTCTTCCGAGAGAAATTTTTTGTCCTTTTGGGTAAAAGATGTTAATGGTTGAGCAATCCTTGAGAAATTCTCAATGAAGTGTCTATAGTACCCATCTAATCCTAGAAACTATCGTATTTATGTCGGGGTTCTGGGGGCTTCCCACTTCTTGATTGCCTCAATCTTAGCTGGATCTACATGAATTTCTTTTTCGTCGATGACATTACCAAGGAAATGTACTTCCCGAATCCAAAAATCACACTTAGTGAACCTCTCATACAATTTCTACTCTTTCAGTAGCTCCGACATTAGCTTCACATGTCGTTCATGATCTTTTTTGGTTTGCAAGTAAACAAATATGTCATCAATAAATACGATTACGAACTTGTCTAGGTATGGTCTACAGACCCTGTTCATCAAATCCATGAAAACAGCTTGCGCGTTCGTTAGCCGAAAAGGCATGACTAAGAACTCATAATGTCCATAATGGGTTCGAAATGTTGTTTTATGAATGTCTACTTCGTGAACTCTTAGTTGATGATATCCAAACCAGAGATCGATCTTTGAGAAGTATGAAGCGCCCTGCAACTGATCGAACAAGTCGTCAATTCGAGGAAGAGGATATCGATTCCTTATTGTCAACTTGTTTAGTTCTCTGTAATCAATACACATTCGGAATGACCCGTCTTTCTTTTTGACGAACAACATCGGGGCTCCCCAAGGTGAAGAACTTTGTCATATAAACCCCTTGTATAGAAGGTCTTGAAGTTGTCCGGACAATTCTTGCATCTCGGATGGCGCAAGGCGATATGGTACATTTGCTCCGGGTCCCACTCCAGGAATTGGTCGATTCGAAATTCGACTTGTCTAAGTGGGGGTAGACCAGGCAATTCCTCTGGAAACACTTCAGGAAAGTCTTGAACCACCGGGATCTATTTGATATGCTTTTCTTCAGGTTCTCTTTCTACCACATGGGCCATGAATGCAACACAATCCTAATGACTTTCTCACTGTGTATGATATGCTTGACACAATGTTTAAACTTCTTCCTGGCTTCTCACTATGTATGATAAGGGTTACGTCATTGGGGAGAGGTATTCTAATGACTTTCTCATAACAACCAATGTCCGCCTTATTCTTGGATAACCAGTCCATTCCAAGTATTACATCAAAACTACCTAGTTTTATGGGAATTAGGTTAATGCTAAAGAGTTAATTAGCTAAGTTCAAAGTACAACCTATAATTATTTCATTAGCCCTAATTTCATACCCATCAGCAAGTTCAATAGCATAAGTATTCCACATCTTTCTCGATTGTAAGTCAATTAATGGTCTAAATCCTCAAGAAACGAAACTTCTATCTGCTCCCGCATCGAATAATACTGATGCAAAGTGATTGTTTAGGAGGAACGTACCTGTAATCACTTTAGGGTTTTGATGAGATTCTTCTGCACCAATCACAAAGCCTACACCTCTTGCCCGCCCACCTTGATTTCCTTGTTAGTTTTGCCTAGGTTGGTTCTGACCGTTGTTACCAGGCCCCTTGTTTAGTTTGGGAGAAGCATTCCGGAGGTGCTCAGTACTCCAGCACTTATGACATGGCCTTTTTCCATCCTTATTCAGCTTACAATACTTCGGGTAATGAACTTTCTGGTTACATGTTTGGTACAAAGGGCAAGCTCCTTAGTGATGGAAGTTACACTTGTTGCACTTCAAATGCGGTCCTATGTACTGCTTTCGCTCTTCAGTTTCCATGACTCTTTGTTCTTGAGTTTTCACCGGTTCTTGCTCTTAGGCTCTTACCATAAAATTTCTTGAGACTTTCTTCTTCCTCCTTGAATTACCTCCAGACTTCTTCTCTCCTTGATCTGTTAGCTTCCTCTTGCTACTAGAGTTTTCCTTTGTCAAGGCTCCCGTTCGAATCACATCATTGGTCAGTCGATTTGCTAGATTTACTGCACTTTGAATGCTGGTTGGGTTTGCTGAAGTAACCATTCCCTGAATCTCAAGCGCCAAACCCCAAAGATAGCGGTCTATCTGTTTTTCCTCAGGAGTGACCATGTGAGGTACTAGTTTTTCTAGTTCGTGAAATCGAACTGTGTACTTCTCTATTTGTGTTCCAACCATAGAATGGTTCCAGAACTCATATTTAAGCTTCTGGATTTCATCGTTGGGACAATACTCCTCTATTAGTAGCTTCTTCAGGTCTTCCCAAGTTAGTTGATACGTCGTTGCATGGCCTCGGGTTTGCACTAGGGTATTCCACTAGGTCAATGCCTTATCCTGGAGTAAACAAGTTTCATACTCCACTTTTTTGCGTTCAAGGCATTTGATAATGTGAAGGACGGACTCCGTGTTATCGATCCATTTCAGCAACCTGACCGCTCCTTTTCCATGGGATTCCTTAGGTTTACAGTCCATAAAGGACTTGTACATGCATTCTCTTTCATTGTTTCCATGATTTCCTCCTCTATTTCCTTGGTTAGCATTAAGGCCTGCAGTTACTTGAGTAACAATATTTTGGATTTCTGCCATGACTCATTGTGATACCAACTGAGCAACATCGGGCATTTCGTTCTTAGCGTTTCTCCCATACGACATCCCACATGGGTTTTCAATACATGATAAAATAAAATACGGAAATCAGAACCAAACACGAATCGCTATCCCAATGAGAAACATCAACATCATGATCAGTAATAGCCTTCCGAACACATAACATGCGGTTACTGCGCTGCCTGCCACTCCCCTAGCAGCTCTAGCAGTATTGGTAGCCTCCATCGCATGCTAAAACAAGACGTCCATTCATGTCATCACTTCATCCAAAACCTCCTGATGTCCAGCTATCACTGGGAGACTTTGACGTAGGTCCGCTGTCATCCACTGCATCCTCCGGGGTCATACCTGCATGCTTGATAGGTATCCTAATGACTCGTTGTGGTGCGGGTGCTCTCGGTCCTGCCATGTTGGGTCCTACCCTACTGGGTCCTGCTCCACTGGATATCATCCCCACGGGCTTGGG